AAGTTTTAAAGTTTTTTTAAGCCTGTAAGAAAGCCTTGATGCATTTTGTTTGTTAATTAAAAGCAGTCTATGAAGACTAAGAAGTTGAATGGAGGGAGGCCTAAAAGGCCTTTAGTTCACTGGTAGAGCACTGGTTTGCTTGCAGAAAGTCTGAAGATCTTCTTTGGCATCCTTCAGGCAGGACTGGAGAAATTTCCTGTCTAAAACCTTGTAAACCCATTACCAATCAATTGATACATTATCTGACTTGGTATAAGGGAGGTTTCTATGGTTCCTTCAGGGTTGGTTGGTTGGTTTCAAAATTGCTTCTGCACAACAAGAGGAAGAGTTTCACAAGAGTCAATGTGCCTCTAGAAATGCATACAATGAAGAGGAATTATTGCCAGGAGGTGACTCCAATAAGCAGAATGGCTGCTGGGAAAAGGCTTCACCAATACTTCCTATTGTAGGCTATCTGCTCGGCATTGCAGCCCCTCAACAGTGTTTTTACTGAACAACAACCACAATGGTTGCAGCTTTGTTGCATACCTTCATGTAGAATGTGCCATTAACCTCAGAATGAAAAATGCAAGATTAAAACATAAAACAGCCTTGCATGGCCAGGCAAAATTCCTGCCAAGTCCACCATCACATTTCCACTAGCCATCCACAGTAAGACTGGAAGTGTGAGGACAACATCTGCCTACCCCTGCTGTTCTCTGACTACTGGAATTCAAAGACAAGCTACTTCTTATCCTGAAGGGTTTATGTGCCATTGACAACCTCATTGTTCATTAACTTATCTAATCCCTTTTCCTTTCCGAAGGTGCCAGCTCCAGGCTCTTGAGGGCACTTGGCAAAACCCTTGTTCTCAATGGGATCCTCTCATAATGAGTCCTCCTCCTCATTGCCACTACAAGAGCTACTGTTGCTTCTCCTCCTCTCTTCACCATTACTACCAGTTTCCTGCTTGACAGGTGGAGGGTCAGTAAACAAGGCAGCAGTGGTTGCACCTCACACTCTTTCTCACCCCAACAGTCTTCTGGGCCAGAGCAAACCACAGGTGAGCCAGCGACTTGCAATGGCAGAGAGGAGGAACCCTTCTAAGGGCTTCTAGTCAGTGAACTCCTACTCAGCTGGGTGTGCTTGGCAAAAGCCCAGCTATGTCTTCCCTTGACACTAGCCTTGTTCTCATAGTAAAACTAACTGCATTTGTATGACTATTATTTGTACATGCCAAGTTTCTTATATTGGATCAGGCACTAGGCCATTAAATCTTCAGTTATCTGGATTTGTTTCCCAGCTCTGCTGTTGCAGCTCCTTTAAATGGAGATTGAACCAGGGACCTTACACATGCAATGTGTACTCTCTGCAAGTGAGCTGTAATCTCTCTCTCTCTCTCTCTCTCTCTCTCTCTCTCTCTCTCTCTCTCTGTGTGTGTGTGTGTGTGTGTGTGTGTGTGTGTGTGTGTATACAAGAAGGAAAGAGACAGATGGACAGACAGACTTAAATTCAGTACATGCAACTGGAAAGCAGGAATTGCCTACATCTTTCAGAGATCTCATACTATATTCTTAAGTCAAAAGAATGTTCCTTCTGCATGTTTCAAAACAAAGTAGAGGAACGACTTATTCATTTGCCACTTTCTAGAAAGACTGAGAACCCAGATGCTTCTTGGCAAACCCCACCATTCTTGGTTTTTATATCTTTCATGGATATATTTCTGTGTATAAAACCTTTTCTTGCTGTATATTTAAACAAAGAGGTGGTGTTGGATTTCTCCCATGACTTAAAACATAAATGTAGAAAAAGCAAAAGCAAATTAATGGAGTGAGTGTGGACCACTCTTGCCAATGTATGGGACAGCATATTGAATGTCATCATGGGATCAGGTGTCACCACAATGGGTCTCATAACTAACTTTTATTTCCAATGGATTGCCACATCGTTAAGGCTATCAGGGCTTGTTCTGAACAGAGTTTTGCACAACCATTAAACTCAGCTCAGTTTGGAAGATTCCCTGAGAAAGTGATTTCTAAATGGAGGGAAACCTGTAGCTAAACTTTAGCCCCAGTGGGATGGCAAATCATGTCCCATGCTTCTGCCTTGTACATATGTTTGGTACAATGCCTGTGTTTACAACATGCCTGTTCTGTGATTATGGACAAGTCCCTACCTATTCAAGAGTCCTCAGTTAGATAAATACAGCCTATTGCTTGCACATTTTCTGTGACCACAGACTCTTGCAAACACTACATCAGAAGTACATATGGAAGCTTGAGAAGAGATTGAGGCCAGAAGGTGCAAGCAGTTATAACCCTCCTCCCTACATGCATTTGAAGGGCTTTTGAATGGTGCTGATATATGTCAAGTATATCCTTAAGTGTGAAAACAAAGAAAGACTTGGCCTTTTAATCAGAAATAATTCTATGACAGAGCAATGAAGGAAACAGAAACCAGGAAGAGACAATACAAAAGCAGAGACAAGCAAAGACAGGAAGAGACAGAGACAGAGACAGAGAAAGAGTGTGCGCATAGGACATAAAGTCTTTATTGATTGATATTAACATTAACATTCTGCCTTACTTGCTCAAAAGCATACCAAGGCAGGTCACAAACTGAAAAATAAAGCTGTGGAATGTTCAACTGACTACATCATTAGAAAGCTGCATCTTCACACTTTTCCAAAAGTCAAGAGTTGTGGCTCATAAGAGCTCTTGAGGGAATCCATGCTATAATTTCAGAGTGGCACAGAAGAAATTCCTTTAACACAGGCCTCCCTGGGTAATGATGTCCTCAAGAGGCATCTCCTGCACATCATGATCAGGCAGTCCTTTCGATAGCCTAATCCTAAATTATCTAGAGCTTTAAACTTAATATTTCAAAGTGAGTCTTGAAATCAATAGGGAACTAGTGCAGTTTCCTTAGAACTTTTAAAATTTCTTGGCAGAATAGGATGATGTTGCAGGGATAGTTGCCTCCTCTGAGGCTGCCACTGCTTCAGTAGCAGCTGAAGTTCAGGGAATTTTTTGTAAGAGTACTTTTGCAGTTTGAGGATTTCCAAAAAATGATGTATCCCAAGTGTCAGGGATTGTTTGAGGGTTGTACAAACAATCAACCCACACATTATATGAGGATTATTTGAGGATTGTCTAACCCTCAAACAACCCCAGCTGCCTGTGTTTGCATGACAGAACAAGCCACAGCAAAGCAGATGCTTAAAGACACTGTGCAAAAATGCCACCAGCCGTGCCCCCCATGACACAAGATCCCCAGTGGGTAATTTAAGCCAAGATGTGTTGTCATTTCAGATGGTCCATGTCTCTGTATCCTTCCAAATCCTGATTCTGCAGGAGCATTCAGATTTTAATTGGGTCAGCTTTGAAGGAGCCCCAATTCAATTTGGCCATCTACTAAATCTTTCCAAATAAGCCCAGTTTGCTTCTGAATTTGGGATTAGAGCTTTACCTCCATAAACAGCAGCTCATGTTTAAATGTATGCCCCACATGTGCCAGCTTGTTCATGTGGATCATTGCCATTCCAGTATGAAGTGTGGTCATGTGTGCACCAGCAAGTGAATATTTCATTCAAATGGGCCAGCAGCACAAGTGGTAAGTGCACTGAACATGACCAGCTGCACGTGGAACATTTTCATAAGTCAGGGCCTTGCACACTGTCTTCATGCTTTATAAATCAGGCCTTAAGTAGACACTGGAGTAGCCTCTTTGTGTTTGTACACACATTCTTCCTTTTGGAATAGGCAAACCACAGACCCCAATTCATGACTTCAGTGATTTTGCAGTCATTGCACTTAACCTGGAGACTTTGCTGTGTTGACCAGGCAAAGACAGAAGTACTTAAACTTCTCTGTGTATTTAAACCTGGCCAATCCAGATTTTTTTTACTGTGCTAAAGCACAGGACCTAATGTTCTATATGTCCTGTCTTTGCTAAGCCTGAAAAGGATTTGGAGACCCAGGCATGCAGTTTGGAATAGCTCGCTTGGCTAGAACTTAAGTCCAAACTTAAGGCTCAGAGTTCACAGCTCCAATTTCTTGATGAGGGATTCTTAATGAACTTGAGCTCTGATTACACTGTCTATGTGGAGTGAAATTGGAACATAATTTTAGCCTGTTTGTTATTGTGCATGACCTTGGGAATGAAGATACAGCGGGGAAGGTCTGCAGAAGGAGACAGCACAAATGGTGTCATGTTCCCACAGGGATGCTGGGACTCAGTCCCTTGGAAAAGGTGGAAAGGACAGCCCACCACAGAAATGGAATACTTGCCACCATTCTTGAAGGCCATTTCCCCAGCTTCTTCAGGTAAGTTTGTGTAAGTCTGAAGGAAAGAAGAGGAAGCGATGAAGAGGGGAACATGCTCACTCAGAACACACACAAAACAATGATATTTTGCATATGTTCCTTGGATTGTACACACTTGGGTGTGAATGCAACAGATCCAAACTTTTTGGCAGGAAAACAGGAATCATTATATAGTCTTAATACTTTCCTGCATTTACAAAGAAAGAGATGGCAGTGAGGGCACAAGGCTTCAGTCCAGTAAACTGAAGAACATTGCTTATGCATCAACAAGTGACTCTGAGAACAGGGAATCATTGTACGAAGGGTAAAATGCAGCTGGGGCCTATGTACACCCACTACCTGTCTGGATAAATGCTACAGACTTTACAAAGAAAACAGCTATGAAGACAGGGAGAAACTTTCTCATTCAGCAGAAAGCCAAGTGGTTATTTTTTAAAAGCCTTTTATACATATAGATCACTTTTACTTTGGAAAGAATATCCCTATTTCCAAATCCTTTGAGGAAAATGTGGGCCTTTATTTGAATAAGCTGAGATTCAACAATTCTTTGTTTCCCCTTTTCTCACTTACCTTGGCATGACACCTGATCAAAAATAGGCACAAATTAACAGGAGTGGACCATGTTCTGGTATTAAAATGACTGAAATGTATATTTTGGTACAAACAGTACAAAGAGTGATAAAACCTACACTAGTGTATTTTTATACAAAATGACGTGTATATACTGTTTATTGAGAATAATCTCAGTTTACACAATATTTATTATATATATATATATGGTATATTAGAAAACAGATTTCATAAACCATCTGTATCTAATGGACTATGGTCAAATCAATTTCCCATTAAAAGTCTATCAAAAAACTGACCCTGGTTAATCAGTTAAAAAGTTATTATTAGAAATGTAAAAAAATTATGAAAGTGTTTGCATCTTTCAGTATTTGTTGTTCTCAATTATCTTGACTAATCAGTAGAACTTGACATTACAAAGACTTAAATTCTAAGACATGCAATAAACAGGACAAGTCACAGTAGAGCAAAACAAGGTTTCTTTGGTGAGCCAGAAGCCAATATAAAAAGTTAACAATGTTTCTAAACTTTCTTTCACAAAAACAAAACATTCACATTACACACTATACAAAATAGGATATAAATAGTGAAAAAGTACTCTGCGTTTAGGAAAGCAGGGAAATGTACAGATCAAAACAGTGGTAGCTCCATATGAGAGACCATGACAGGCCAAAATGATTAGGCACAGCCCAATTCTGTGATTTCACATTTCACAAAACTGGCCCCCAAACCCTGGTCTCAGCCTAGGAAACTTTGGGTCCATTTGTAAGGGTGAAGTTAGTGAACATGCAGCAAAATGGCAGGATAGAGACTTGAATATATTTAGTCTAAATCTCTACTAAGCAAATGTATCCACCAACTACCACCAAACACCACTATGTTTAAACATGGAAGACTGGTACATATTTCCTCAGGAAACTTGGATACCTCACAATGGAATATCTGAAATAGGATATCAGTGATCTGCTTAGACTCTAGCTTTTGACAAAACAGATGTTTTCCACAGCAGATTTGAACAAATGTGTATGTTCTACCTTTTTAAATGGCCCAATTTCTTGGAAATTCCTTGTTTGCAGAAAGTTATTGCACAGAAGGAAAACAGATCATATGAATCTACCACAAATTCACACACAGTTAAATATGGCAACTCTTAGGTCATCTTATGTTCTCACAGAGATTCAATCAATTTGAATGAGGCTTCAGGTGGTACAAAACTGAACACCACAAAAAGGATACCTGGCAAGTAAAACTTAGCCCTGACTTGATAAATACAAATTCCAAGGCTGGCCCTCCCATAAGGCAGAGTGAGGCAGTCGCCTCAGAGAGCAGATGTTGGGCAGTAGCCAGAAAATGTTGGCGGAGTGAGCTGGGGGTCATGTGGCTTTTCCTGTCCCTTCTGAATGAGCCTGAATTCCTTCAGGTGTGCTTCCCTATTGCCAGTGTTGAAGAAACACTCAACGTCCAGTCCAGTTAACATTTTTTGCACATAGAATGGAGGAGGGCACTATCTTGTCCTTTGCTTCAGGTAGCAAAATGTCTTGGGCCAGCCCTGACAAGTTTACACCATTTGAGGCTGCATTCACAAGAAATACGTGCCACATAAATTGCTATGTGAAGCCAGCTTGTTGCCCCAATCAAAGGCCAGTTTCCTGACATGTGAGAGCACACGTAGAGTCTGTTCACTACTAAAGCTATGTCACGTACACCCTCCCCACACACACACATACTAGAATTCAATTATGAAGAGGTCAGTCTATGAGCTAGCCCTTATTGTTACCTTCTACTTTCCTCACAAACTTCACATGCACTGATACAACTAGGATATTTTTCTTCATAATATTGCTCTAAAAGTCAAAGCATATGACATGAAAAATCTTTGCTTCTGCCCCCAGTGGTGCTACGATTGCAAGGGGAAGACGATTTTGGCTGTATTGGACAATACCTGTTCCCAGATCAATCCCATATGCCTCTGGACCCATCCATGTATAAGATGGGTTCAGAAACAAACACCCTGTTTGGCCCTTTGAAGTACCATTTTCTGTAGCAATTGTACCTCACCAGGCTGTGACAGAATTGTTTATTGTAATATCTTGCCCCTTCCCACCTGTTTGATTGTATCTACTATGAAGAAAAATCTACAATATTTCTATGGGCACATAAATATTATTCACAGGTAAAGATGCTGATTGTATACAAGTCACAGCTCTCATTCACATCACCACAGACAAATGATCCCATTTATTTGAATTTTTTTTCACAAGTCAAAAATGTTTGAAGCCAACTCTGGTTCTTCCAAATGCATCAGGTAAGTTTGGTAGCTCTCAATAAGTTACCAAGCTATTTCAAGGTTAAAAAGAACATCCAATAAATTATATCAGTATGGCTTACTTCATTTATTTATGTACGCTTCACAGCTGCAGCATTCATACACAAACATTCATTACTTTATAAAAGGATTAAAAATGGTTATATATATTTATATATACAAAATTATTTACTTTTTAATTTTATTTTAATTTTTTTTTTACAAAAAAGTAGGTCTATCTATCTCCATCTTAAAATGCAGAGAGCTGTAACATAGACCCAAAGTTAGTGTTGTAAAAATCATTTTTTAAAAAGTGGCCCTGGTTGAGATTTATTGTATTAGCGCTTTTAAATTATTCCTACAGGCCCTCCTTGTCATTAAAAGAAAGAAAGAAGGAAGGAAAGACAGACAGACAGACAGGCAGACAGGCAGAAAGGAAGTCCTCCAGGCAAGTCCCTTTTGGTCAGTGCCAAAGCTGGAAAGGACGATAGTCAAATTCCACATTGCAGTCCCATGTTCAGGGATGTCCCCATTTGCCGTGCTCCTTGTGCAACTCTCGCATCGCACAGTTCTCTATGGACCGCTGCTGGGGAATTGCAGTGTTCCTTAAGCAAGAAGCTACTTTCATTGTTCATCTTCAGGTTGTAAGAGCCGTTTTCTCCCATGTTTACAAAAAAGAGAGCAAACAGCAATTTAAACCTATTTCCAGCCTGGTGAAGTACCTCAAGACAAACAAAATAAATGATTAAAGAACTCTGAGCCCAAATCGCCATAAATAAGCCTGAACTTAGTGTGACATCTCATTGTATATACAGGGTTTTTGAACACAACAGACACCATTAAATCATCTTATTTACATTGTCACTGGTGCTAAAATGGAAGAGCTTAATTATTACAGGACACTGGGATAGAGAAGTGAATTGTCCCTCACCAATGACATATAGAAATTAATATACTAGATAGGCTGGAAATGGCTCCCTTCTCAATTTTTTCATTTGTATCAATCACTGATATGTGTTGTGAATACTGAGTTCTTTAACTTTCCCAAAACTGCTTGGTAATACTCCTATAACTGATTTTATTTTATTTTTAAAGGCACAGGAAGTTAGGACTTTGGCTGGCATGGCGAACATCCCACTTTCACCAGGGTGCCTTCAGCGCCTTGAATCCTGCCATGTCCTGATCCAGCGATGAAAATGTTTAGATGAATTTAATGAGTTTCCCTTTCCTGGGGAAGAATGTTTATAATAATATTTCTTAGGATAAGTCCTTTGGAATGAGGATGCTGAAAATAAAAGAGAAAGAAAAGAGGAAAAGCTTTGTAAATGTGCCAGCAAAAGTATAAGAAAAATGAATGGATGCGATGTGATATTACACACACAGGTAGGTACAGGCATTTCCTGACCTAGGCAGTCTTCACATGGTGGAGGAGCGACTCCGTCTCCATGGAGATCGTGTTATATGTGATGCAAGCTGCTCAAGGTGAGCACCCATTCATGCAAATGGACATCTGACACAATAAAAGAGGGTGATGGAATAATGGCACATCAGACTGATCAGACACCAGTGCAGAGCTCCTGCAGCAAAAGACATGTGCTGAAGGGCCAAGCAGAGAGAGAACGTCTCTCCTCCACTATGCAAAGACTCTTGTAGGGCTGGTAAATGCTTGACCTGGATTTTATCAATGATAAATCTCTTTAAAAGGGCAACTTACGAGTCATGCAGGTAATTTTAGGCAGATCCCATCGGCCATTCCCTTGGCACCGGATGATTGGAACATGACGCTGGATGAAACCATCTTTACAGTGGTATCTGATCAATGAGTTGATTTCATAACGAGGCTTCATCTTCCCAAATGTCTTGGCATTTTCTACTACTGGAGGCTGGCCACAGGCAACTGGAAATAGAAATGCAAGCATATTGTCAGTATTCTTTTATGTTGTAACTTTCGTTAATGCTCTCTCTGTGTGTGTGTAGATCACACAAGTTTTTGGAATACTCACTCCTCAGTAAAGCTTAAGGAACCTAATTGAAGGAAACCAGTATCAGAGCTGTCGTCATTATTTTCAAAGAGCTAAACTAGTCATAAAAGTAGGAAAAACTGATGATAATCTTTTAGTCTGAACTAACAATTTCACTGCTACAATTTCTAATGGAAGCTAGTAGAAAAATCTTGTCTTCTATTTTCACAAAAAAAGCTCTTAATATTTCAAAAGCTGTAGTGCCTAAACCCTCAAAAAAAAAACTCCTGCTTAGATTAAAAAATATCTGGATTTCTGGATCAACCAAAAGTATTGAATTATACAATGACAATAAAAGCAAAAGCTATGTTATGCAAACAATTCATCAGTAAGCCAAGAATGATTCATAGACTCTTATTCCATACTAGGGTTGAGCAATGCTCAGCTTTTGCCATCACAACAAGAATAAAAATTAGAAATAATAATAATAAACAGCAGTGTCTTTAACACTAGGGACTGCTAATAGGGTGTAATTTAGTACAAGCTAAAGCAACTTTTTAAAAAATGAGTGCTCCTTGGAGTACAGCCAATAGGGGGTCAAACATTACCCATTCGCTTCCCAAGTAGCACATCCTTGATCTGTCTCATGATGTGGAGATTCCACCAGTCAGCCACAGTGCTGTCTAACCAATATGTACCTGCCTAATACTGTTTAGAAAAGCTGCAATAGCCAATATTTGTAAGACTGGGGTGCCAAAGTCTAGGAGCTATCATAGCAGGACTGCTGCTTGTTACATTGATAGATTCAGATACATCTGAGCTGGGACTTGACTCAAATGACCAAACTCTCAGTGTAAATGAATGCTCTTAATTTCTGCTCATTGTAGACTGCATGATTTCTAGAAAACTGTAAGACCACCAATATATATATTTCTACACTAGAAAAAAGTTGCCTATTTAACTTTATCATATAACCATTTTATGGCACTTACAGCAATATAATGAAATACAAGGAATTCTTGTTTATATGTAGCAGATTACTATAATTTGGAGTTGACCTAGTCATGACTAATCCAGACGTAGTCATGTTTAAAGCAGACTCATTTTATTTATAGACCATTATTCTGCAAATGAAATTTCAGGAGTTGGGGGCAGTAATCCAGAATGGCCCCATAGCCAAGGGAAGGATTAAAAGCACTACCAGGGTTACAATCCGGATCAGGTCCCTATGCCTTTCATAGGATTAAACAAACTATGACTATTAGCTACTAGCTGTGGCATTCAGGTAACATTGATGACTTAGGCTGCAGTGATTTCATTGTGTCTACTCCAAGTGCAACTAATTTTGGATCATAGCATGGATTGATTTTGCAGCACTAACAGAACTCAGCCTGTGGTGCAGCATGCATTCTCTTCAGGCACCAAAATTTTCATCCATACACTTGGCTGAAATGCTGGCCTGAAAAAACAGAAACAAAAAACAAGTTGGGATTTGTCACCCCAGGCTGAAAGTCTTTACCTGTTCCTTTCTTGCAGGTATAGGTGAGATGATAATTGCATGGTACATCATTCCACTGGCCATTTTCATGCCAAATTATAACAACACAATCTTCTCCAGAAGAAAAGAAACTGTCTGGCTGGTTTGGTCTCCAGTTTTCATATTGCTATAGAAGAAAAGACAAAATAAAGCATCAGAATCATGGCTTGAAGGAATCTAAGCTCAGTGGGGTCTTGCAAAACAAAACTATACCCAGCTATACCGACTTGCAAACATTCAAATGTACAATTTCATAACCTAATGCTTCAGCTTCAGCACAGCAGGGGAGGAAAGGGTTCAACACAGCATTCCTGTGCGCTGAGATCCCAGTCCCTCTCCCATCCCATTTACTGCTGTTTCCATTTTCTTAAACAGAACAAACAACAAGCAAACCCTGCAGTGTTAAATGCATTTATAACATTAACTTAGTCAACATGTCAACTCTCAGTTTGGGAATAAGTAGGATTCCAATGACTGAAGATGGTTTTCTTTAGCCTCTGGGTTCTAAAAATCTCAAACATGTTGCCATCACATTTCCATGTTTTCCCTTTGAAATAGTCAGACACTAATATTGACAAGATTCTGCAAGATTATCCTACAAATGATCTGTGCTGCAGCATTTCAATACTGCAATGTAACTTTGCATTTTGCTTTCAGGGTAGCCCGGGGAGCAAAACGCTTGCCTTTTCAGAATGATCCCTTCTCCATCCATGACTATGTGCTACAAGCAGATCCTGGCTAAAGTTGCTGAACCCGAAGACAGGCCTGTCCTACACGAAGTGCTGCAACGTACTATTCTTTTGTCTTGGTTCTTTTTCAAAGTAAAAATTACCAGTAACAAAGAGCTACAGAGAGAAATGCTTGGCAAAATTAATTTAGCTGTTCTTTGCAAATGTTTCGTTGCAAGTAGAATTTAATGGTGGGTAAAAATAAATTTCTAGAAGAGCAAGAATCCCCATAAATGCCAGCCAGTTACCAGTCAACCTGTGCCTTAAATGGACAAAATGACATGGTTCCTAAGTGCTTTTATTTAATTTCAGAGCTTATGCCTTGGCACTGGTCCACTTACGTGCTTATAAAAGGTCCAAAATTGTTTTACTTTAATTCTTTATAAAGTAATCCAAACACATTGTCTTTCTGAGCACATTTTACTAATAAAGTTAATGAACCACATAAATGCACTGCTTACTTAGTGGAGCCTTAGAAAAGCTGAATATAGTACTTCTATATGTTTCCTGCACTATGTCATCTTCTCAATCACAGCCTTTTAATTATCTAAGCTAGTGGGCTGCAGCCTGCTAAAGTGGGTTGAATTAGATTTATTGCCAGTCTATACAATAAAACTTGTTTTTTAAATGTGGAGAAACTAAGTCTACAATTCTGTGCATACTTACCTGTGACTAAGGTCATTGGATTAATCACAGTGGTACTTTCTTCCAAGTAAATATGCATAGGATCAAACTGCAGATTGGTAAATTTTGCTTTTCTAGTGAAGGGTACAGTGTATCTGTTACAAGACACCTATGCAGCAGCGAGGCACCAAAAGTAGCCCCAGAACAACAAAGGAGGTAGAGGATCATACAGATGCCAATGTATTTTGTGCCACCTTGCCTAATGTTACAGAGAATATCCCCCACCTCAAAGAAGCCCAACACTAAACAAAATTCTTTACCACTATATATTTACAGCCTTACGGATACACACATCTTACCATTGCTTGCATTACATTTGCATAATTTAAGCCTCTGCACCAAATATATCAAGACTGATAATAATTTAATTATTACTTGCAGGATATCTTTAAGATACAAATGTTTTTATACTATCGGCTCATAAAAACCATTCTAATAATCTGCCTGTGAGTCAATCCAGTTGAACATCCTATGTGTCAAAACATAGCTGGCTGGATGCTGTTTGTCTCCAGCATCTGAAGGATTATTGAGTATAACAATCTTTAATAGGGTTAGGAAGGGTAAGAAATAGCAGCTGCCTAAGTCCTGCTGGCTCATGCCACTTTCTAAGCTCTACTGGCTTATGCTGAAAAGGAAAGACAGTGTGTCATGGACAGACTTACCCCAACTTCTTTTTAGCCCTTGCAAGTATTCTCCATTGCCACCCATTTTCCCTCCCACTGGATGCAACAGAAGATGAAACCAGCATTCACCCAATCCTGGGGTCTCAAGGGGAAATGGATGGATACAGGATCCAGCAGAGCCAAGGCCACCTCTGCTACACCCAAGAACAGCTCATTTCGGTGGACAGCAGCAGACCAAGGCTGGTGGTGCTTTCTGTGGGTGAACCAGGGGTCTCTCTGGTGGATGTGTCCCTCTATCCATCAATGGAGCTCTTTTCTGAACCATCCAAGATCGGTATGATTGCACTCTTAGCTACTATATCTTAGCTATTGATAGGCATATTTGCTCCAGGACAGACCCTTGAGTATTCTGCTTCAGTACAAATATGGATATCCCATTTCATTCTCTTTAACCAAGTGAAGGAAAGAGATGTATGGGGACATAAAGTCTGAAATAAAAGGAAAGACCTTTAAAATGGTGCAGAATTGTGCTCCTTTGGAAACTACAGTATAGTCATATATACCAATCACCCATATAGAGTGAGCATACTTATGGTAAAGCAGGATCAAGAGAATAACCCCATTTCCCTCTGAGCTGCTTAAATTCAGGTCCTCCACCTGGGACTGTGTTCCTACACCCAAGGATGGGTGGATTTGCCCCTGCAGATTTTCTCCTGTTTCCCCCACCCCCCCAATATCTGAACTAGCATAGTGTTTACTCCATTAGTTTATCTAGGGGTAGGTGGAAAGAGCTCAGGCTTCAAGGAAGAGAAGTATGGGGATTATTTTTCTGAGCCTCGGATCAACTTGGAAAAATTACTTGTCTGCCAATTATTTTCAGAAGATCCTAGTCAAATTCTGAGTTAATCTAAATAAGAATATGAAAGCCATACTGGATTAGATCAAGGGTTCTTCTAATTCAGAATTCTATTCACACAGTGGTCAAGCAGCTGACCACAGGATTCCACAAACAGGAATTGCGGGCACATCTTCCCCCTTTTCTTTCTCAATAGATCAAAGCAAAAGGGTTCTCAATGCAGTCCTTTACTGAGTCAGGCTGGCTTTGCAATGAAGAGCGAGTAATATGAATGTTGCTAACAAGCAGCATCTATCAAAGTAATGATCTTTCCAATTTGTAGAAATAGCTTTTGCAGAAGTTAGAAGCTGATTCCAAACTGCAACCTCCTGCAACCACCCTTCCAATCCAAAAGGGCTGGCTCCATCCTCAGGGAGCGTTGCACTGCTTGAGGGCCAGATGGCAGGAACACCTGATGTTATGCAATGTTAACGATGTTAACTTGACCATGAACTCATGCCTGTCTCCCTCTGACCTTCCTTGTTCCACAGAGTCTCCTTCTAAATCAGAGGCAGTCTGGTTCTCACCAGGCTTAATGAACCCTGTGGTTCATTAACCCTGACATTCCAGTATTCCAACTTCTTCTTGCTCACATGCAGAACTTTCTAGTTTGGGATGCTGTATTTTGAGAGAAATGGGCCCAATCCCTAAAATAGCAGAGCAACAGCCCCCTCTGCCCAAGTTTCTCAGAGGCATACTACCTCTGCTACTAGAGAGCATACCTCCATCAGGACTAGCAGCCAGTGACAATCTTCTTCATAAATTTGCCCAATCCCTTTTAAAGTCATCTAAATTGGTGTCCGTCAATACAACTCATGGGAGGGAATGTCCTAGTTCAATTATGTGTTGTGTGATAAAGTAGTTCCTTTTTTCTGTCCTGAATCTCCCATACCTGAACAAATAGTCTCAGGGCATAGCCTTATTCATGTTTAGAAAAAAATATCTGACAATTCTAGCATTCCCCAGCTACTATAGCTGGCTGGGAAATGCTAGAAGTTGGACCATCCATAGAACTGCATCCTTAGCTTGGCAAGAATAAGGTACTTCTTCCTTACACAGAACAGGGCTAAGTCTAGCTGTTTTGCTGTCCCAAAGCCTGTATTCTCATTTTAATATCCAAAGCTAGTTGATGTTGGTTAGATCCTGGAAAAAAAGCAAGAATTGCTATTTCAGCAGATTATGCTTGACCTAGTAAAAGCTGAAAACATTTCAAGGGCCTGGATTACTAGCTGTGAGCCCTGGCTTGCATATGTTGTTGGCAAGCACCTAAGATCCCATGGAATGGACTCTGTGGTTTTGCAAGATTGCACCATTCCATTCCCCCAGACGTGACATGCTGTTGCCTCACATCTGATATCATCAGTGTGCACATTTATTTTGGCATTCTGACCCTCACAGTGCTTTTTACTAATGCCAGAACCACTTAACAGAGACTCCTGAGCTGATTTCTTAACTCTACACCCTACACACTGAAGTTTTTCATTTCCTTATTTAGGCAAGCATCACTGACTGAAGATAAGCTTTACAAACGGTTCTTTCAAACACAATACAATACAAATGTATTTAAGCATGTATTATTATTCTTACATTGCATTGCATTTAAAATCTGGACTGAACTTTGGGGAGACAACAGGTCTGATTGCCCTTTTAAAAATATGAGTGGAAATCAGATTTAACTATCACAGACCAAGTTGTTGATCTATGTGCAGATGGCAGCTGGAAACTGGAAACTCCAGTGTTAACTTGTAGGAAAGAACCCCTATATAGCTCATATGACCAAGTCATACCTTGTATTCACATGCTGTCATATATAAGACAACAGATGGAGATGGGAAACAAAGCGATGGCAGAGAAAAGGTAGAAGACAGAGCTGTAATCTTAGAGTGAGCTCCAGCACCTCAATCTGCTCCAGAATTTTGAGGACTGGGATACAGTGATTGCCTTATCGGGGACAACACTGATGTTAGACTAAACTTGCAGTCCTGTGCCTACTTACATGGATACAAGCCCAACTGGAAACGGCATACATGCGTAGACAGACACAGGACTACATTGTGAGGCTACTACTGGAAGTGCAGTCTACACCAGTGTGGAGAAGTAGAGTGTTGGACTTGGGGACCCAGGAGATCTAGTCACCACTCAGCCATGAAGCTCACTGAGTGACTAGGCCAATTACACATTCTCAGCCTACCCTGCT